ATATACACATATATATCTTTTTTTGTGTATGTGTGTGTTACCCACACGCAAGACTGAAGATCATGATTAAACTCCAGAAAAGCCTTCCAATATTGCCACATATTTGTAAATTGCCGAAATACTTTACGCCATGCACCGAACTATCATGCAGATATTCTTGAAGAAGTTGATGAGCAATTTCTTTTTTACTTTCTTCCACCGACCGTTTACCATACGATTTGACATTAACGCGATTGGATAATTCTTGGTTTCTATTTTTCGAAATTTCTACAGGGGTCACTGTGATCTTCTTCACTGTACGTCGCTTATTCTGTGAAATATTTGGTATCATGGCACAGCAATTGGAAAATTTGCGATTTTCTTAATACAATTTATTGTTAAAGATTGTATTCGACACTGAATTGTCCGTTTGATAGGCCAACAATGTTTCTTCTATGTTAAGTTGCCTTATACTGTTGTTTGACCAGAGTTATGTTGATTTTATCGTCGTATATAGAAAATTATGTTGCTGCGATTAAGCATGCAAACATATCGTGCCAAGGCCAATTTTAAATAATTTATTACTTTGCAAAATTAATGGAATAAAAATGATGATGAATCTGATAATATCTCATAATCAAATACATGCAGTACCTTAAGCGGATTTATTTTCCGACAATCGCGGTTAAAAGTATAAATCGATTCTTTTACAAATTTAAAATACAGTACAGCTATTTACACAGAAGATCTTATGATCTTCAACTATTAAAAAATAATATGAAAAATTAAAAATAAAAATAGATATGTAAAATTAAAAGTATCTACTTGCTATTCAATTTTTATTTACAGAATCTCACAAAAACAACGAAAGGGAATACCTAATCTAGAACACGTACAAATAAATAAGTAATACGCAACGAAATATAAAAAATTACCTATGTACAGCATAAAAAATTAATTATTATTAAACGTAACATATCGCCGAGTCGCGATTATGGTTATTTTATACCACAGAGTGAGTTCTTCTATTTAGCACAGTGCCTTGATGAATTTGAGTGTAAAATATTTGTGACTAACGATATATCGTCACATTAGTTGTCAAAAATCTTGAAATAGAGCTAATTGATCTGGTGGCAATGGTGGCTGGGAACGCCAATCAGTTTCAGGATAATCATCGAAGCAACTTGCATCGCTCGGCGTTTTCACACGAGGCCTTATCGGGGGTGTCAAGGCTCTTTGCGGCACCTATGGACATTGATCGATCGTTTAACTGCTACTGCACTTCCGACATATCACGAAATGCAATAAAAGCACGCACATATGATGACAGTTATTAAATAATTTATTGCACATATAATGACACTTGTTAAGTATCAATTGATTCCTCTTCCTCTTTTTATTTAACTATGTAGTATTCACGTGAAATGAAATAGATTGATATGAAATTACCAGAGGCCACTCAACCAGCTTAAACCATCGATGCCTCTTGACATCCTCAGCACCCTGTCTCATGTTTCCTAATCTCTTCGTTCTATCGGCAATCAGTAATTTCTTGATCAGATCTTTCGCGATGGGATCCATATGCTTCGGCCATTCTATTCGACCGCTCAATATCTTCTCATAGATCCCAAAGGGGTTGTCGTCGAAGAATGGTGGATATCCCGCCAGCATCTCGTAAATCAAAACGCCCAACGCCCACCAATCCACGGCCTTATTGTGTCCTTTACTTTGAATTATTTCCGGCGCCAAGTATTCTGGCGTGCCACACAAGGTCCACGTTCTAAAAATGCATACGTTAATTATAGCCATGGTCTCACAATGTTTTATTATGACACACCGTCAAGAAGTAACAAGCAGAGTTTGACGCGATACGTGCTAATTGCACGGTATTGCATATCTCGTTTTATAACAGACAGTCTTGTATCAATATAATTCCAACTTCACAGCAAATCAGCAAAAAGGAAGAAAAAAAAAACAACATTAGATTAGATAACATTTTCTTATGTAAACTTGTTATTTTTAGTTTTATACGCCTATTTTTTTCTCGCCGAGACGTTCCATTAGAAAGCAAACGTTCCATTTATCTTTGCCATCAATTTGTATCCATGTCTCCGAAATACTCGCTCTCACCTGTCTGTAAGTTTCTTCGAAAAGCCGAAGTCGGTGATTTTGAGGTGACCCTGACTATCCAGAAGAAGATTTTCCGGTTTGAGATCCCTGTAAACGATATGCTTGCTGTGCAGATATTCCAGAGCGCAAATTATTTCAGCGGCGTAGAAACAGCTCGTGGGTCCGGCAAATCTTCCGGCCGCCCTCAAATAAGAGAAGAGCTCTCCCCCGGCGACGAACTCCAGCAGCATGTACACCCTCGCTTCGTCCCTGCCGCTCCACAGCCTGAAAAGACAATCGCGATGTGAAAAACAAAGCGACAAGTCGAGTGTTACGCGAGCAGATCTCGATTTCGCTTCGCCGACACCGAAAAAGTGTTCTCCTCACGCGAGCGTATCGATTTCTCTCGCTTTTATCCAGCGATTAATCGCGACGCGATGCAAACTAGTCGAACGGCATTTGCGTGTATCACTCTCCTTAATCCTGAGCATGCTTTCCGTTTAATCTTCTCCGCGAGAATTCTTTCCTTGACCGACAAACGCACTCACTTTCTTCGTTCCTTTTGGACGATTACATCGCGTGTTCGAACGCGAAGGCACGCTTGAAGTCATCGGCAGATAAATTGCGAATCATCCTCGAGTAACGTTTTCTAATCGACGAATAAAAAGGCGATACTTACATGTTGACGATGAAAGGGTGCTTAACTTCCTTTAGGATCGTGATTTCATTACGCAAATGCTCGACCTGCTTCAGCCTGATCACGTCGACCATGGAGAGGATTTTCAGGGCGAGGGGCGTCCCGCGATGCCTGCAGAGAACCACTCTGCCGAAAGTACCTGTGCCTGAAAATCGTATTCAAACATTTGCATTACATGTTGATTTGATTTGGAATTTGATACACGTTACTTCAAATGTATCCGAACATGTAAATCAAGACGTGTAATTATTTTATACTAAAGGAATTTCTGCTTTCCAATATCCTCTCTGTAAATTAATCTCGTTAAATAGTACTATTTTCATGAGATTTTCTTAGCTAAAGAATATTATTTTCCGTTCTCGATCTGTTCGTCAAATCAATCTAACGATTTGATACGATTTCATAACGAGTGCGCTTACCGGACTATGCCGTCTATGCCGAATCTGCTGGAGTGACCGCCAACGTTAATTGCCAACGCTTTCGACGCGTTCTTTTAATCTAATATGCATTGCGCAGCGCGGTCTATTTAATGCACTTTCCCACGAATGACTCGGTTGTTCTGGTTAACGTACTGTGACCAATTAGCGCACGTGCGATGAACCTTGGCCAAATTAAACTGTGAAATTGGCCGTCACATTGCAGCGTCCAACCGCGAGATTTTGCATATTTATACGCGTACGTGTATAATTTGTGTCGGGAGCACATCTCGCGTGGAATAGCGACGAAATTGGCCGCGCGGCAGAAACGGCACGATGCGTGTCGTCTATCGACGACGAGGAGACCGCTGCCAACGACGACTCGGAACAGGTGTCAACGGTAAAACGACGAAGCGCTTCCGGTGATGGCGTGGACGCTTTAAATACTCGCACGACAGACGTGAATTTAGGTGAAGCGTCGCATGACAGTCCCGAGCGAAAATTGTCCGAGATGTGACATCAAAGTCCAGAAAGAGGAACGTCTTAAAAGTTTTCGCTCTGTTGATCGCGATAGTGCCGTGTCTCCAACCACGACTAAAATTACAAAAAAAAAAAAAAAAAAAAAAAAGAAAAAAGAGAGTCTCAGCGGAGTCTCACCTGCAATTTTCCGAATCATTCTTTCACATAATTCTGACTTTAACGAGCAGTTAAATATGTGCTAGATACCCTCTCACTCTCTGGTGTCCTACTTCCTTACTTCAAAAACGGCAAATTTGATTTCTTACTTGTTTCTTCTTCTCAAAGTTATAATGTAAAATATTATTTTTTATTAAATATTATTAATGTAAATTGGATTTCTATTTTTTATTTATTCTTACTATAAATATGTATACATTTACGTTCGCAAAAATCTATATCTCAGAACTTTCTAATAGTAATTTTATGTACGGTTAATGTAAAAAACTTCTCTAATTGTGATTTTATATAAGAGTTTATACAAGTAATTTTAAGAAGATTTGCAAGAAGATAAATATATTAAAGTTTCAAAGGTAGGGAAATTCAATTTTCTCTTTTTTATATCGTATTATCTATAAGCAAGATTTAAAATTTTCTAAAAAGATTGTAGAATAAGACTTTTGTAAAATTTCAGTGCAAGGATTTTTGCGCGTCGAATTTGATGATATTTTTCATGATATTTTTAACAATTTAAAAATATTAATTAACTAAAAATTGTAATTAAAATAAAATTATAGAAGAAATTACAGACAGAGAGTTCATGTAAAATATTGTAATCTTGATCGATTTTTTTAGAGTTTTTTAGGATTTTATAACACTTTTTGTAGATTTTAATAACATTTTAAGCTTACCGATGGTCTTGATGATTTCCAAATCGTCGATGTCATATCGCGGCTGATCCTCCTGCGATCCTTCATCGTCGGACGTGGTGTCCCCCGACATCGTTTACGCAGTACTGCCGAACACGAGCGTCTCGTCAGAGAAAGTTTCTGATTTATTTCTCCCGAGCACCTCGACACGTGGAAAGAAGAAAGGAAGCTGTGGTTCAACGATCCACACCGCGATATTCTTAGACCACGTACCGACGACTCGTTCTCATATCTGCTTTTCGTGACTTTAACTTGTAACGTGATTTTCCAGAGTGACTTTGTTAGTCTTCGACGTATGGATTAAACAAATAAAAAGCGATTTCGATCGTACTTGATTAAGAATGAAGCACGCGTTTCTCGAATTTCCCTACGAATTTTCTTCTGAAAAGTACCTCGTTTATGTTGTTTTCAGAAAGTGCTCTCGCAACGCACTGCTCGAAAGCGAGTCGACAGAACGAATGTTCAACGATCCTCCTTCCTCCTCCCGGCTCTCGCTCAGAGCGGTGAAAATATGTGCATTGGTTTCACAAGTGTCATTTAATCAGCGGCAGGTGCGTGCCGCGCTAAAATGCGCGTTCGAAAACGAGTTTCCACGCACGGCAATGCGTTGAACGATTTTATTGATGAATTTTATCGGCTCGGCTTTCCGTGCTCCAGTTAATTATTCCAAAAAAAGTGCTCGCGAACACGTCACGCAGGCGTTGCTACGATTCCCGTTCTTGACGGTAAACCGCGCGAGTGGTATTTGCAATCGGAAACGGTAGCATTCACCCGTTCACCTCGTATATATCTCGGATATACGCGTTTTACAACTTCGTTAACTAAGCTGTCATCCCTGATTTCGAGTTCAACGCGTCTCTCGTGATGCAATTTTAATTTTTTTTTTTTTTTATTCCGTGATTCAGAAGTAACACATTGTTATAGAAAGCAGTTCTGACATGTAACAGTTAGGCGACGCACACGAGCGACTGTCCGCAGTTATTAAACCGTTTGTTTCCCAGAAACTTTTCAGAGAGAGAGACTGCACTGACACCGATACAACGATCTTTAGCGACAAGCGCCTCGGTCAGCGAAGAAAATCGCAGCGGAATCATTTTCCCATGTGCTCGTCGAATCGATCGGCCGGACGGATGTCGAAATCGAGGGATCACCGTATCATCCTTGGACCCTGCGCGGCACGC